CGCGCACCGAGGGCAGAGCGCCCGCCCACCTAGGCACACATGGCCGCGTACGGGCTGCGGGCCCGCGCTGCGGGCACACGCCTCCTTCTGCTCGCGCCCGGAGCTGCGGGCGGCGCCCAGAGCAGGGGCGCCCAACATCACGCCGCTGCATCAATAAAGGGCTTTGTGGTGTGGGCCCGGCCGGCGAGGGGCCGGGGAGCCAGGCCCGGGCCGTAAGCCCTGCGGGTCCCCTCGGGGCGGGGGCCTCTGGGTTACCCAGCCGAGGATCCGCACCCGCTGACAGAACAAAGCCCACGAGCGAAAGAGGGCTGTAAGCAAGGCCTTTGCCTGAAAATGACACTTAAATATAAAATATAAGGAGGTTGTGTTGAAGCTATTTGGGGACCGCCTTTTGGAGACCATTTTGGGGCCGTATTTAAATGTGCTCAGTTTCTGATGTGTTCACGCTTGAGGAGTGGAAGCGGTAGTGTTTTTCACACGCCCTAGTAGGTCACGACAGTGTTAAACGCTAAAACTCGAAACCCATATGGGATGTTACGTGTTTGTATTAAGAGCAAGATGGGGTCCGAAAACGTGGCCTATTGATCCAGTTTCTGAACTCTTTACACTGATTCAGAATTGATCTACATTTTAATACATCAGACGGTCATCACTTAATATCAAATGAAAATAGCTTACCTTTCCATTACGGTGAGGGTTTTGGAGTCAGAACCGGTTTGAAACTCTAGTTCTGCCACTTGCTGACTTTAAAATCTTGCCTACATAAATTCTCTAAGTCTCAATTTCTTCTCTAAAACAAATATAATACTCTTATCTCTTACAGGGTTGTTTTGAGAATTAAAGATCGTGTCTATAATTCCCTGCCACATGGTATAAGTACGTAATTACCTACTTATAGGCCTAATAACTTTATGAGATAGAAAAGGGATACTTATATTCCAACTGTAGATAGGAAAAACTGAGGTTAAAGGACTCCCCAGGGTCACAGAGCTAGTGAGTTGCAGAGCCAACTTTTGAAGTTAAAACACAGTACCCTTTCTACCCTGACAGCTACCTCTGATACTAGCTCCTGCCTAATTAGAATAGGCTGGCAGGGTTGACCCATCTTTAGAAGGTGCTTTTGTTCCTCCCAGAAACTGGAAGGTGAGGACTGACTTGTTCTTTAACATTTCTGTTCTAGTATCAATGGAAAACGAGCAGCAAGGAGTGAAGATGGGCGTTAGTATTCAACACAAGGAACGGTAAAAGCATGAATGGATTGTGAAACCAGCGTAGTAGATTTTGACCTTACCAGAGTGCAGTTTGAATTTTTTTAATGAATTAGCATAGAATGGTAGGGAAATGAGAGTACATCACACAAATGAGTGTATTTTTTTGTGGAACTTTCATTTCTATTCCATGGGTGCACTCATGCCTGTGTATCTGCATGTAATTTCAGTGTAAAATATAGTTCTTACAGTGGATCTAAAAAGTTTGAAAGCCACTGTCTAAGATAATTTCATGTTAGAGATGTAAAAACAGAAACCAAATCGTTAGCTGAGGTCACACACAGAGGGGGCAGGGACAGGCCACCTTTGAATTGAAGTGGTGCATGGATCCATGGCCTGTTCTCTTTTTACAGCTGAAGAAATCAAGACTCAGGGAGAGGATGTAATGGGCCAGGGCCACACTGAGAAAGATCGCACAGCCTGTGTTTTCTCCATGTGGGAACTCCATTTTCCATATATGTACATAGTTAGTTCCTGGCCATTGTGTTTAGTTATTTCCTATGTGACTCACTTTGAACAGATATGGTGGAACTTGCAGAGAGTATGGCTTCTGAGACTAGGTCATTAAAGGTATGAGGTGGGGTTCCTTGCAGTCCCTCTTGGCTCTCCTACTTTGGAAGAGGTTGGCTGCCATGTTGGCAGTTTAGTCAAGACAGTTTATGGAGAAATGCACATGCAAAGGAATCAAGCCTCTAGCCAACAACTGGTGGGGAGCTGAGGCCTCTTGCCACCAACCATGTGAGTGAACCATCTTGGAAGCAGATCCTCCAAGGCTCAGTCAAACCTTCAAATGACTGTAGCCCCAGTTTTTTCACTGAAACTTCGTGGGAGACCCTGAGCCAGACCAGGTAGCTAAGACTCTCTAGGACTCCTGGCCTTCAGAAAATAAAAGATGCTGAATGTCTATTGCTTTAAGCCACTAACCTTTGGAGCATTTGTTATAGAACAATAAGTAACTAATTTATCATTAAGTCTATTGTAGAAGAAATATTTTACATAGAGTGAAATAGCCATATTTTTATAATTTTAAGGTTACTATTTGACAAAAGTGAACAGTAAAACACATTCTGCTTTATAGACATTTTCTGGGCAGCAGGTCCTTTTGCTAAATCTCATGTAGAACTACTGAAGATCCTTAGGAATTGTCAACGCAGAAAATATATGGTAATTACCACTTTCCCACATGTATTTAAAAACAGAAATAACCCTAAATCCTTTAAAAGGTGTAAGAATATCCAATAAAAACCTGTTCCCCCATAATGATTATTTTATTAGTATTTTCTTTTGAAATATCAAATTATTTCTAAACCTACCTACACCTCTCTCCCTTTCCCTTTCTCCCTCTTCTTCTCCCTCCCTTTCTCCCTGTCCTTCTCCCTTTCTCTCTCTCTCCTTTCCCTCTCTCCCCCCTTCTTCCTTCCCTCCTTATCTCTCTATTTCTACCCATGATCTCTCTCCCCTGCTTTTCTGGTGCCCTCCATTTATCTTCCTATTGGGTAAGCCTTCACTTCAATTACCGAAACTTAGTTTTCATTTAAATTGGTTAAGAGAGCATTGATGCCACCTAGTGTTAAAATGAGGTACAAGGAGGAACACAAAAGAGACATAATAAGCACAAAACAAAAACAACACTAGTGTGATAACATTTGTTATGCTTTGGGCCCTGTTCAAGGTACTTCATATACATTGTCTTATTTAATTATTACAACAATAGATGCTATCATTAATTTAGTGATGTGATTTTAGGGATAGTAGAGAAAAAAAAACAGGTATCTCAAGCATGAATAACTTTGCCAGCATCATAGGATTTGACCCGACTATCTGATTCTGACTTTTTTGCTCTCTACCACACAATACATTCTCCCAGGATTGTAATTAGGGCAGAGTTTTAGAATATAGACTTGTAAATATTTATTCCACTGCCCGTTGCAAAATACTTTAATTTATCATCATATATACAGATATTCAATCTAATTTCAAAGAGAGATGTTTTATTTATTCTAACTTAATAGGTAAGTCACAGAGGCAGTCAAAACTTTTTTCATGGCTGCAGCCAAAACTTCTCTAGTGATGACACCAACTCTAAGATAATGATAAAGCAATTCACCTACAAAAACTTTAAAATCACCAAAAAACTTAATAGCACCGAAAGTCCTAAATAGTCTCAACCTTTCTGTACTAGCACCTTCCTAATTCTCTCACATCTCTAGCAACTTCTTTGTTACCGAACTGAACTGGGGTTCGGCCACTTGATAGATGTCAGCCAAAAAACACTCCAACTTGATTTTGTTGGTAGGAACTTTTTTGCAAGCCAGCGAGCAAGCAGTACACTGGGGATCATCCTCAAAGCAGTGACTCTCTGAGCAGAAAGGACTGCAGGGCTTTATACGGCTAGTTGCTTACATCACATAGCATGTTGAGGCATGTTTGGGGGTGAGCGTGCACAGTAAGCAAACATGGCTGTCCACACATCACATGTACACGAAATAATGGATAAGCTCCACCTTAGGCAGAGATTTCAGTATTAGAATGAGGTCGTAACAAGAAAAGTTCATGCTGAGGTCACTGGAGGGCTTCAGGCAGCTTCGACAGGTCTCAGATGGTTTCAGGCAGTTTCCTAATCTTTACCCTCTGGTTCTGAAGAAAAGTATCTCAGGCAAGCATTGTTAGACTTCAGGCAAGCAAGCAAGTAAGCAAAGCAAATATTTAAGTAATTACATAGGCTTTCTCCAAGTATTTAACCCTTCTGTACAAACTAGGTAGGCTATACCTTCACTTGTTTTCCTCATTCTTCCCTTCCTTAAATTTGTGTGTGCCCAGTTGTACACGCCCTTCTTCCTCTATTTGTTCTACTTTGCTACTTTCAGGGGCTCTGCTCTCACTACTGTAACTATCACTTCTTTTTGGATGGCTCCCAAATCTGATTCTCTAGCCAGCCTTGCATTCTTTCCTGAACTCAGATT